CCATGCATTAGTCAAGTTTCAACATTTTTAAATAAAAATTATTTTAAAATTATTTATTAGCGTTAAAACATATGGCCACTCCAAAACAAATAATTATAAATATTCATAATAAGAATAAATATTATAAACTGAAAGTGACCCATTTTTCATTTAAATATAAGCGAATACTGAAATTTTACGAATACAGATTGGTTAATACCATTTTTTTAGATGTGTGGTCAGCGTTTCAGAACGAGAAATTAGAGAACCAAGTTCGAATTTCAGTCGAGCTTCATTAAATTCACTTCCGCGCAAAAATACCCATTGGGAAGGTATTAATACCACCCGTCTCCATGTCACCTCTAGCTATGCATTAAATAGTATGGCAGACTAGCCTTTTCAGGTTGGCAATCAGTCTAGGGGAAGGTCAAGATTGAATTCAAAACGCAATGTTGTCCTGGGGAAACATAATATTCAGTCAATGAAACAAGCGTGGAATTTACAATGATCTCAATTGTGGTCAATCAAATCAATCTCTACCAATTTTAGTGCGAAACATTAATTTGCATAAGACTGATATATATATATATATATATATATATATATATATATATATATATATATATATATATATATATGCGGTACTTCGTGGAAAGTGCTCAATATCTGTGATAAAGCTAACATATTCATTTGTATGGATTCCCCCTTCTGCCACACATACATAATAAAACACAAATAAGCATAAATAGCTACACTTTTTAAAAAAATAAACCAGTTTGTTTGATGATCGTAAAAGCGTGAAACCCCAGGGTTACAGATTAATATCCATACAACTGAATATATATATATATATATATATATATATATATATATATATATAATATATATATATATTAAAGCAGGCTTTCATTAAGACTTGTTTCATTAAATAATTTAGACAATTTTTATCTACTTATTTTTATTGTCTTAAAAAAAAACAGAACCTGATGACGACATTGTGCTAATGCCGAAAATATTCGGACATTCCTTCCTTTAATAAGGATTCTATGAAACTTTTCCCTAATTACGAGAGGATCCTATTAAATATAAGTGGACAAGACTTCTCTAAATTATTTAATGAGACATGTCAATATATTTATATATATATATATATATATATATATATATATATGTGTGTGTGTGTTTTTGTGTGTGTGCGTGTCCAATGAGGTTTAGTAGGGATAATTCCAAGGAGGATATGAATCTAAAGACATCTCAATATAAAAACAGGGCAATATTATAATAATAATAATGAATAAGTAATCCTTAAAAATCCATTACTCAGTGTATTTTGGGTCTGAATGATTGGATAAGAACCCATAAAATAAATTATTACCATGATGGATTTTAAGGATTCCTCATTCATCATTATTATTATTATTATTATTATTATTATTATTATTATTATTATTATACTTCAACCGAAATGAATTGAGCTCCCCTGGCCATTGACGTATTTCGCACAGAAAACGTTAAAATTTCCCAGAAACAGTCTGTCTGTGGATGACAATATATATATATATATATATATATATATATATATATATATATATATATATATATATATATTTGGGGCGTGTGTGTGTGTGTGTATTATCGCATTTAAGATTATGTGAATTAAAATGTTATTATTGGGTGAAAGGTAAGGGTTGGTTAATTTTGTTTATCGTCATATCAATTTCTATTGTTTATTTAATGTCGAAATGTAAATAATTTGAACAATTGAATGACTTCAACTAAATATATTTTGAACGCAATTGTATTACTTCGTGTACAGATAAAAATTTATTGCTTGTCATGTTGTTTTAAAAATGTACTGTTGCTATTTTTAATACAAATGTATTTATAATTTCATAGTATTTTGCTTGGGTTTGCACTATTTGCCCATAGCTGGAACCCTAACAGGGGCTACCACCTCGGATCTGGGTATATCTGGGATCAACGGAAAATAAGAGGTGGTTCCACGCTCCTCCAATCTCCCGATCAGAGACCTTGCTGCCGGATGATGTTCATCGTCATACCCCGGACTCTTGAGTAAAAGAGCAGAACGCCAGAAAAGTGACGCTGACATACAAATATTCGAAGTACAATGTAGCCATCACGATACCCTGACTGACAAGTATATACCGGGTACATGCATCATAGCCAAATGTGTGCCATATGGGGACAGGTTTTCATAAAAGTAGCGAATAATCTTGCAGGTGGAGCTCAGTTAGAAATAACTTGTCTGCTCAGTCTCCAATTATTGACGTTCCAAAGTATGTAGATGTAAATCCCAAACCACCGTTAAACAGTTATAAAGCCCCCCCTTTTAATCCCACTCATTAAAAGAAACACAGTATTTCAGCCCCTAAGGCATATGCCTAAAACCCTTTAAGGTCAGGCAAGTGTCCAGCAAAATTGGTACTTAATGGTATATTTACTATAGTTCATTTTAATTCTCAAAGAGAAATTATGTACATGCGACCATCTTCAATATGTTAAGATCAGAATTCATGAGTTGTATCGTAGTTATTATTATTACTGTTGTTGTTGTTATTTTATTATAATTCTGCTTGTTCCTTAGTGAACACATACGTACGTTACACCCTGCCAATACCTCATAATAATGGACTGTTCGGTTTTGATCACGTGGTAAGACGGAAACGATATATCATAGAAGCAACTTGGTTTCAAACAAAAAAAAGAAAGGAAAGAAGGAAGGAAGGAAAAACAAATAAACAAACAAAGCAATGAAGGAGGGGAGATAGAAGTGTTTAACGTCTGCTTCAGTGAAATGGAAAAAAAGTTGTTAATTTCAAATCTTTTCATTTGTAGCCGCTTACCTTTTAAAAAAACTAACAGCATTCATATTTATGTTTGTCATTGCAATATTTTAAAATTGTTAAGCTCAAATAGATAACGATGCTATAGGAGAATTTCTACGGGTATTTTATTGTCGTAAAACTCGCCATGAACTAATTCAATCATTAACTTAAGAATAAATATTCCTCAGAAAAGTAAAATAAGAAAACCGTGAAATTTTCCCGCGTTAAAACTAGTTATTATTATTATTGTTATTATTATTATTATTATTTTCTTTGATTTCTGGCGTTTACACATTTCTTTCCGGGTCCCGCCCAGGGACCTAAAGTTAGAAATGGCGTCATGACACTTTCCACTGACAAAAAAAAAATACATAGATAAAGCCCTTCGTTAAGTGTGGGCTGTACTTGTCAGAACAATTTTTTGTATCTCCTTGAGGCATGGACTTCCAGGAATCCCTTCAATTAGTCTACTGCAATCTTTTCCAACCAGTCCTAGGGCTCCAACTACAACAGGGATTGTTGATGTTCCCATATGCCACATTTTCGAGATTTCTATTTCAAGGTCCTTGTATTTTGACAATTTTATTTATTATTTTTATTATTATTATTATTATTATTATTATTATTTTTGTTATTATTATTATTGTTATTATTATTATTGCTGGTTTTTATAAGAAAGTAAAACGTCATCTTTTTTGTCAGTGAAACGTTCTTCTGTGGTAAACATTTATTCAGCATGTGTGCTTTTACAAATCGGTAATTTACTTAGATTTTCTAAGAGATTCATTAATTCATTGACAGTTAAATATTTATGAAAAAAACCTCGTGGGTGGGTAAATCACACTACTTTATTATCCGAGAAGACATAAAACTCTCAATGTTAAACAATAGAGACTTTTTCTATGGCGTACGTACTGACAAATACTTTCCAGAATATTTAAACAAACCGATTTTAATAACGCAACAATAAAATTTCTTTAAAGCCGAATACTGAACAGTTATCAAACAACACCAGATAAAAAGTGTTTCGACCTTGTAAATATTACTAAATCCCCACAATACGAGAAAATATCTTTAGATGAAGGTAATATTTTCAAAATAAAGCAAAAACAACTTACATTTGTTGCCAACTGGTTACGGTGGGTTGTATAATCTCCCCATGATTGGCCTGCAGTCCACACCAAGCTTTCAGCTTGGAGTGCCGAAATGCTTGTTGTTGGGCTTCTGGTTTTTGTTACTTAATACAGTGGGAGACATTTTTCTTGCCCGGCGGAGAGCTAATAAGCGTGGCTAGGATTACTGTGTAACTATTAACAATTATGCTAATCTCTTGTTACGATAATCTCATTTCTACTTTGCTAGCCATTGAGCTGATAGAGAGACGACATAATTAATACGTATGTTCACTGGATGAGGTATAGCTTCGTTGGCTGGCTGCCTGGCTGGGTCTATTAGTATATGGTTTAAAACCATATCTATAATAAACTCTTAAACACATCGCTAACAAATATATGTCTAGTATCATGACGAACCACTGCTAATGTTATGACGTTAATGAATTCTTAAAAATGTTCTCTTTAGAAAATATTTTGCATAATAATGTTATTGTTGCATGCAAATTTACAGAAATATGATCACGAATAGTAGTATTAGATTTGTTTTAATCATTTCACCACAAGTGAGGCAATAAAGCCACTAAGATGCAAGGTGTTACTGAGTGTGAAAGAAAACGAGTAAAAGAAAATACTTAAGGAGAGAGAACAATAAAAGAATAAGAATTAAGAAGACAGAGGATACCGATTGACATCAAAGATCAAAGTTGACTGGAAAGCTAGAAGCCGGAAGAGCGTTCCACTATCGAGAAGTGCGAGAAAAGAAACTGTTTGCATAGAAGTTACGGTCATATATAGTAATCATAACTGCCAATCTAGTATCACGCTTAAATTCGTAAAGTGTAGTAGGTACCATAGATGAATGGTCATCAGAACAGTTACCATGTAAATTATCCATATCATAAAATGATTTCATATTTTAAGTTCTTACATTTTAAGTTTTTAAACAGTTTTTTTTACAATTACAGTAGAATTTGATGTATGGGGATTATTAATTAGCGATAATATAAAACCAATCCCCCAATAAAAGAATAGTATATTAGTTCCCTTGTGTCGTCAAGGCTTACGACCACACCACGTTGAAAACACCGGTTCCGTAGGAGCACCGAAGTTAAGCAACATCAAGCCAGGTCAGTGCCTAGATGGATGACCGCCTGAGAAAACCAGGTACTTTATGATGGATAATGGTTAGGAATTTTTAATCCGAGAACCGAGTTTCAATTTCATTTGGGTTTTTTATATTCCCTTACGAGCAAATACCTTTGTTGAAAGATATGAATCAACCTTTTCTCCCCCCAGCTATGGGTTAATTACTAAGACTTGTATCACTATGTCATTGCCATCTTTTTTTCTGGCTTTAAATAACCTGCAAATGGTTGATAAGCCGTAGAAAATGAATCAACCAATCAATTTAGTTATGTCCTTATATGTGAGTGTTTAAATATTTTTCCAGTTCCAGTATATATATAATTTTTGGGGATCAGTTTAATTAATGACAATATAAAACTAACCCCCATTTTATGCCCAGTAGAATCATGTTAATTTAAACGTGGTGTTAAGATTGACGCCAGATTTTGTCAACTGTATTTATCGCAAGTAAGACTTAATATTCCTTTCCATTTATCATTATTCTATTTCGTATCGGTCTTTTCGCCTGCTGATTTCGTAAACATTCTTCCATTGTCGTCCAAAACTGCCTCTGTCACCTGATACTGCCAGTGCAAAGGAGATAACCAGGCAGTAATCGTGGTTAAAATCGGAATTAATTTTGAAAGACATAAGTTGACATTAAAGACAAGTTGAAACCTGCTTTTAGCACACAAGTTATTATATTATACAACCAATTTCTGTGCTATATTGTTTTATAACAAAAATCGTAATAAAAAAAAAACTCCATGATCATGGTTACGATTTGTAATTTTTTGTTACAAAGCTAGCTGAAATAAACAGCCTATAAATTAGTATAATTAAAGTATACAAACATATTTTGTGCTTATAAAAATATCAAAGGGTAATCTTATTTACAATCTAAGATATGAATAAAAATTAGCGTGACAAGTTTTGTGCATTACAAAGCAACGGACACTGGATTATATATATATATATATATATGAAGAAATATAGTCTTAAGATGTGCTATATTTATGGGATAAAGTGCTCAATATCAGAGATAGCGCGTGTGTAAATATAAAAGTGAACATAGAAGTCAACACTTAGAGGCGACAGTCTGTTTCATGCTAGATGCAATCGTCAGACCACCATATATATATATATATAGATAGATAGATAGATAGATAGATGTATATATATATATATATATATGTGTGTGTGTGTGTGTGTGTGTGTGTGTGTGTGTTTGTGTGTGTGTATCTCTGTGTGTGTATCTCTGTGTGTGCATACACACTCTATGTCCAGAAAAGAAATCATTTTTACGAATCCAAGAAAAATATGATAATCGAAGTGCCATGCCAGTCGTCTTAAATGTGACCTGTTGTTTAAAAGAGGGATTGCTACCCAAATACAGAATTATAACTGTACATGTATAAATATATCTTACCATATATATATATATGTGTGTGTGTGTGTGTGTGTGTGTATATGTATGTGTGCTCGCGTGTGTTTGTGTGTATCTGTATGTCTATATCTACAAAACTATCAAGTAAGCTTCGCCAATATATATAGCAAATTTTAAACTATACATACACACACATAAATATATGTGTGTCTGATATGTATATGTTTTATGTCTGTGCGTGCGTGCAAGTGTACGCGTGTGTATAATTTTAGATCTAACTACAAATATAGATGTTAACGAACCATAAAGAGAAAATAAAAACTTATTTTAGTCGACGCGTTTCGTTCTCTGATGGACTTCATCAGGGCTAATGTAAGGATTTTATTTTGCAACAAGTATTTATAATCATAAGTAAAAACAGCAAAATCATTTCCACACTTTTGCTTATAAGACATTAAATTACGTCTCTTAGCATCTTCCGTAATTTAAATTGACTTTTCTGTCAGCCTAGTGAATATTTATGAACGGTTCTTAAATTAAATTTTTTTTTCTAAAACTAACATTTTTACTTTTCTTTATAAATCCTTGTTGCAAAATAAGATTCATACATTTGTCTTGATAAAGTCTATCCGAGAACGAAACGCGTCGACTTGCATAAAATTTTCCTTTTTGTCTTTATTCATTCATTCATATATATATATATATATATATATATATATATATATATATATATAAAAGACATTTTTATGTTTAACGTTCTTTTTATAGATACAAGTATTTAAGTAAATGCTCTGTTTATAATAAACAGTATTAAATAACATTTACCGGCCTGAATTTACCTATAAAAAGGACGTTAAACATAAAAATCTTTTTATTAAATAAATTGTCGGACTTTGTCTATTTCTTAATATATATAATATATATATATATATATATATATATATATATATATATATATATATATAAACGTAAGATATACCTTGTACTGGATGAATTGGAAAACCATCGGAACAAGTCACACACAAAAACGTAGTTATACGTACATGTATATATATATTATATATATATATATATATATATATATATATATATATATATATATATATATATATTGTTTATATACGTTATTTCTATGGATACAACTTATTGAGTAAATGCTGTTTTAATCAGACAGTATTAATTATATTTACCGGCCTGAATATTCAATGAATTTCGTAGAAAATATTCGTTGTCCGAAACTAATCGGACATCTATATCACAGTATTAATTACGTTTACCAGATTTAATCATATGTTGTCAATGTTTAGGTGAGTTTTCGTTTTAGAGCAGAAATGAATTATCGAGAAAGATCGTCGACAATGTGTTTATAAGCAGTAATTTGAACGTTCGCCGTGGCTGAATGATTAACAGTACGTCAAGCTATATGATGACTTCATTATGAGATACAGTTTCGATTCCTGTTGGAGAACGCATATTTTCTGCGAAATGTCTCTAACATTTAATCCAATAAATGCAATTTATACTATTTAATTAAAATGGCGTATTTACCCAAATAAGTTGTATTCATAGAAATAACGTATAAACAAAAAATATATTAAAATATTTGTCGGATTTCATCTAATATATAATTTCATTGTTTCTTTGTTATCCCGACGCTCCGATCGCTTTACATCATCGATTGGAAATAAATTGGACCTCAGACGAGATTTAAACTCGTATCCCTTATTTTTCGAAAGCGATCGTACATGGCCGACGCTATACATAAAATGATCGACTATATTTTCGCCCCGTACAAGAAAGATGGTGGAGATAGACTGACATGGTTAGAGGAATAGTATAAAGAGTTTTGCTCAGGTCGGTATCGAGGCGAAAGCACCCAATCAGAATGCGGCCGACACGACAATTTTCCTAACAATCGCCCTCTGACTGGCGCATCCTGATGAGAAGGAAATAATAAGGGCATTTGTTATTTAAATAACAGAACAAAAATTTCACAGGCCTCTTTTTCTTTTGTTTTATTATTATTTATTCTTCTTATATAAGACTTTGTGTCTATAAACAACATTTATAACACAAATAAGTGAAAGATAATCAAAAAGAAATTCGGTTAAGGAATGCTGAGAAAGATTTTATTTCTTAAAAATAAACAACCTAATTTGAGTTGAAGTTAAATAGATTCAAATGTAATTGATGCTATTGTTGAATGAGGGCGCCTCGGCGTCGGGTAATAGTTAGCAAACTCGTTTAGTTTAACCATTGCTATTGAGTAGTGGGTTCGATCTCCACTGGTTGGTTTATACTTTCGTCCTTCAGCTGAGTTAAACTTGGTAATGGTAATCATTAGCCGTTTCCTTATAAGGAAATATTCGTTCTTCATTGACCGAGTAACCAGTGCTGCTATTGGTTAAAATCAAATCTTTTTTTTTACAAAACAATGTTTTAGGAAAAACAGATTTCTGACATCCAGTAGCTGTTATTGTTCTTTCCAGTATTGATGCAGACTTCCTTCCTAATCTTTTAGTTGAATTAGTGTGGAATGTTAACATCTTGACTATGTGATGTTTTTTCTCTTTGAGTTACATGTAGTATCCATTTAAGTCGTTACGTTTGCTAAAAATCCTCGAGTGATATGGTTGTTGTTATCTCTTACAGTTCTTTGCGATTATATAGCTCCAGTTCACGAGGTTCGAAGGAAGGATGGTCTTCGTGTGACACGTTTCATCCTTTAGGACTTCATCAGGCTAAAGTGAAGTTTACGTTGATGTAACTACACATGTGATTTGTGTATCAATAAAATAAAGAGAAAATACAAGACAAAATATATTTCTTCACTTTTCGTCTTCTTCTATCTAGCATAATAATAATAATAATAATAATAATTATAATAATAATAAAGCCTCGCTAGTTACCAAGAAAAAACGAATAAGTTTCATTTATACGTCCTATGTAGGTTTGTGACGATTTTTTTAAAATTTACAACTAGCCTAACTAGTCTAAAAATTTGTCTCAAAGTTAAAAATTAAGTTTAGAAAATGTATTAATAAATACAAGAATACAAAAGAATATCAGAAAGAGGCAGCTGAAGTTTCTGGGACACAGAGGAAGGAGGGCTTGGAGAATCTGATACTCACGGCTCGAATAGAGGGAAAGAGAGAGAAGGGAAAGCAACGCGTGACATATCTGACGAGCTTAGGCAGGTGAATGACAGAACGTGGTGTGGAAGATGAAGTAGAGGGAAGGGGCTTGCTGAAAGCTGCAAGGGAGAGAGGGGGGTGGAGATCCATGATCGCCTACGTCCACATGCGCACGAAGAAGATGGGACGCTGAATTTTAACACTTTTGTATTTAATGTTTTGTTTTTTATGTGTTTGGGCATATAGTCTAGCCAGTTTTATTTAGTTTATTTTTTTGTTTTTGTGTATGTTTTTATTGTTTTTGTCATTAAGTGTCGCACATTGTGATAACAGAAGGTTTGCCAATTAAGGGGAAATCTAAGAATATGAATGAAAATTTGCAGCGGATGTTGTACAAATCAAGATGCTTTCTATAAAATTCTATCTAATTAAATTGCGTTTTCTTTTTAATTAAAGTTCCATTTTTTAAATCGCGATTATGGTTAGACTAATTACAGTGAGTAACTAATATATTGAGCGTATT